ACCCAAAAAACAAATAAACAAAAAAAGAATTAGTGGAAACCTGGAATCTCTGGGTTTCACTGTGAATTTCTGATGCTTTAGAGGCAGGTTAATCAACATGTTTACATTCTTGTGACCTGATTAGGCACAAACTTTTACTGTGCATCAGAAGCATTTGGAGAGTTTGTTTAAATGCATGTTTTAGCCTCATTTCCAGAGATTCTGATTCAGTAGTTTGGAGGTGAGGCTCAGAAAGCTACATTTTCTAAAAAGCCCTTCCAAGTAATCCATGGGTTATATTTTCATTAATGGTATTTATTTTCCAAGTAGTATTTCTGCATGAAATTAGACAACCACAAAGAAAAGGTCTCTTGAAATCTGGTATGTTAAGTGCTTAAACTTTATTCTTTTTCAAAATATTTTTGACTGTAATGAATCCTTTTTATTTCCATTTAAATCAACTTGCTAGCCAGGCATGGTGGCACATGACTGTAATCCCGGCCCTCTGGGAGGCTGAGGCAGGAGGACTGGAAGTTTGTGCCCAGCTGGGACAATTTAGCAACTTAGTGAGACACTGTCTCAAAATTAAAATTAAAAGAGGTCTGGAGATACAGCTCACTGGGAAAGCCCTGGATTCAGTCCCTATTAGCAGCAGCAACAACAACAAACAACTTGACAGTTTCTGCCAAGATCTAGTCACTTTCTAACCCATTAACTGATTTTAATTCTCTGAAGAGCACTGAACAGATTTCAAAAATTGTTTATTACTTAATCTCCTTGGTTTAGAATATAAGTTTCACAAGGGCAGAGAATCTGTTGTTTCTTCACTGAATGTCCACAGCTCCTGAGTAATAATACCTCGTGTGCCTCTCTCAAGTGTGCATCTATTTTCTCTGAGTACGCACTGCCTTAACTCTGCCTGATCTGCCTATGCTTCTCACTGCCTGTACTGGAATTCTTGTTCTGTGATAAGGAGTTGGTGAACCTACCCTGTGGATGCTGGAGGAGGCACAAATGGAGGTCCCCATCTCCTCTCTGGGGCAGCTCCTCGGCCCCTGTCTGGTGACAATGGAACCTCCATGAAAACACTAAATGATGGGGTTGGAGAACTTGGGGGTTGGTGAACACATGGCAATGTGCCCCAGATGGTCATGGAAGCTCAACCTTCCTTCCCCCACCTTACCCTATGTATCTCTTCCATCTGACTCTTCCTGAGTTGCATCCATGATAATAAACCAGCAAGCCTAAGTATGTTTCCCCGAGTCTTGTGGGCTATTAGGTTCTGCTATCTAACCCAAGGAGAGGGTAGCAAGCCCTTGATTTATAGCCAGTCAGCCAGAAGTTCGGGAGGACCAGGCAAGACTAGCAATTGGCATCTGCAGTAAGGGCAGCCTTGATTCCGAGCCCTTAGTCTAGGGGACCTGCGCCAACTCCGGAATGAGTTAAACTTTACGACATCGGTCATGCTCATTAGGAATTGGAGTTGGATGGTGCAGGAACCTTTCTTCCTGCACACACATTTGACGTGGGAAGTGAAGTGCTGAGGGTAGAGGAAACAGTAATTTTCTTTCTCCTGTGGTCCTCAGACGCCCTTCTGTTTTCCCAACGCTGGTTTCTGTAGTTGCCCCCTGCTTGTATAACGTCACCACAGTTTTCGAACACTGTGCTGACCCGTGTGCTCAGAGTGCTGAGCCTGGCCACCCAATGCTTGGCTAAGCGCCTACCACACATCTCTACACAGGGAAAGCAGGAGCAAGACTGAGCCTTGGAGATGCAAGGAGGAAAGGTGAGCCCTCGGCTCGTTCCACTCGGTGCAGGCCCGTCCTGCCTCTCCAAGGCCATAATGCCAAGTGCTGTCTTGGTGGCCTTGACCTTCCATTGTTTTTAAGTAGCTGGAACTGAACAAAAGACAAATGAAAACTCTCTCTGCTTGACATTGAAAAAATTACTGGCATGTCGTACGGTAATTCAGTAAAGAATTCTCATTCATCAAAACAATTCATTTTTGTTTGAAGAGGCTGAATAAGCAGTTTCTTGCTGATTTCACCATCACATGTGGCTCTAGTTCATTTGGACTAATTTTATTCTCAAAATTGAAGCGCTTTGGGGGATATGTGGAATATTTTAAATCAAATTGGGCTATTTTACTCAGATACCTCCATATAAGCTCATTTTCTCCTACACTTTTTGTTCTTCTACAGTTCTAACACCCAAGACTTACATCTAATCACTTTTTTTTAGAAAAAGAGATAAACACCAAGTTGAGCTTTTATTTTTTCAGAAACTGAAATCCGTACAATTAATTTGAATCCACTGCTGAACTGTGCATAGGAAAGTGATCCCAGGCTAATTTACAAATGCTCTTTATAATAGGACAAATTGTTGTTCCAGAGTTTCTTAGAATCCTGAGCCCGAATGCAATTTTGAAGGTGTGATTTATAAAATCCTTCATTATAAAGCATATTTATCTAGTTCATTCTCTGTGATAGTTATGTCTAAGCACCACAAAAATGTAACTTTGGACTTCTCCCAAACTTTTTTTCTCAAAAATCTCTAGTCAGAATTCTAGCCCAATATCTAATTTGCATTATTCATGTGATCAACTTTATCTTTTAAGAGACTCCGTTCTTCCACTTCTTTAGCATTTCAGCTTATTCTCCAGTGAGCCCAGTTCCCTTGGTCAACTCTCTTAGTACCTTTCTCTTACATCTCATTATTGTTTCCTTTCCTCTCCTTGTGGATCAGAGGTTGTAACTCCGAAATGCTAACAGGTGTTTTAAAGGGTGAGCAGGTTGGGAGCAGCACGAGGGAGACAAAGAGGTGCGTGGGAACTTGAGGAAACTGAGGCCCCTGACTAAGGAGAAGGTTACCTCTGTTCAGCCCCAGCTGAGTCCCTCCCCCTCCAAAGATTTCAGAACCAGAATTGTGACATCATACACTTCCAAGAGAAGCCAGAAATATAAATGTCAGTGTGAAATACTGCAATTTTAGGAACGGTCAGTTATTTAAAATGTTTTAAGATCACTCCTCCCCAAAGCCTGTAAATACCCCACAGCCACTAGAAATTCTTTTATGTATGCTTTAACCAAATTTACTTTCATTAAAATCGGATTAAACCATACTGACTTTCATCCCTTCCCCCACTTCCTCAGCACTTGGCCTGAGGGTTTTCGAGTTCCAGTCAGACCTGGTAAACACCTCCTGTGAGGGAGCCCTGCTCCTCCCAGAATGCTCATTTCAGGGGTTGGACCAGAGGGCTCCCAGGGAAAGAGTGAAATGGAGCAAATTTCCCTTGGCCCTGAACTTTGCCATTGGCTTCCCGCTGGGTGCTCGGGAGGTAGTTGGAGGTCAGAAGAGGTGGCTCTGCCTGCTGTTACTGGAAAAGAGCAGCTGAATTTCAGTCTATCTGTCCATTCCCCTTATCATTTGTCACTTTCCTCTCTGCCTCTGTTCCTCTAATACTTTCACTGCCGCTGCCAACACTGGGAGAGGCTGGATACAGCCTCAGTGCCTTATTGTACACACACACACACACACACACACACAACCCCATCCACACCCACACATACAGATATAACAGATCCACACACATACACAAGGACACACACATGCAGACTCAGCTCTCACTTTCTGGCTCCTTTTCTTCCTCTCACCTGCTCTTGATGTTCATTTTTACTTTATTTTTCTTGGACAAAAAAATATGATGTGTCTGGGATTTCCAGGGCTGTGAAGAGGAATGAAGCAGAAGTGTATCAAACTACACAGCCATGACCCGGGCCGCTCTGCGGCTCCTCCAGCACCTCACACTCAGCCTTTGTTCTGGAAACCCCAGAGAAGGACGGGCTGACTCATTTCAGGAATGTTGCCCTTGAGCCCTGGCTCCAGCCTGCACTCCTGGCCTCTCTGCTCACCCCCAGGGACCTCTTGGAGCCTGCTGACACCCTCTGGATCTGGGAGGCACCTACTTCCCACTCCAGTTCCCATGATCACAGTGTCCCAGCTCCCAAGAACCTGGGCAGAAACTGCCCAGTGACATGGGACCAAGTATGGAAACTTCTATAGCTCTGTCAATGGTCAGTGTCTCTTGATTGCTGGTGTTAGATGCTTCCTACTACAGACAGAGAGAAAAAGAGAGGATTTAGGTAATCAGGAGTTAACTGTATTGTGATAATATGCCTTGGATTTATATAGTTCTCATATAAGAACTATGTGTTTCATGGCAATAATTCATTAAATAGAAGTCTGTATACATACTTACGTATTTTAAAGCATTTTTCCAGTTATCACCTCATTTTTATTTTATTTTTATTTATTTATTTATTTTTTTGGTACCAGGGATCAAACTCGGGTCCTTGTGCTTGCACAGCAGGTGGCGAAACCACTGAGCTAAATCCCCAGCCCACTTCATTTTTATTTTTACAAATGAATTCTATGGCTCCACTAGTATGATGTTGTCATTCCCTTATAACAGATTAGAAAACTTCTGTAGGAAAGGCTTGGAGACTTACTTGACGATGCTAATCAGACACAGAAGGGTCTCTAAAGACATTCCTGATGTCAAATATTAAAACATGATATTGGCTGACATGTATTTTCACTGAACTGGATGTACTCTTTTCTGTGATTTTACTCATTTTAACAAAAAATATTTAATTATTATTTAATCATATCTATACATGTGAATGAAAATTACAGTGTAGTTGATTATGAAGTCACTATATTTATGATATAACTCAATTAGTATGAGATTAAATGCTAGTATTCTTTTCCTGATTATAAAGCTTTATTTGCTTTTTCTAATTAAATTGGGCTAAGACGTACAGAAGGAAGGTTAAATGTGAGGGAGGTATTCATGTGCCCTTTTGTATATCCTTTGGTAAAAGTTTTTAATAGTAACACATTGCTAAATCATGATGTCAAGGTCTTCTTTTGGGAAGTTGTATCAATTAGGATATTTTGAGCTAAAAATAACTCTTTTTGCTTTACATGCTGTTGTATCTCAGGTATTTGTGACAGTAAAGGAAAGCTGACCAGCACAGTGCCCTTGATATAATATGATGAAAATGGCACTTTACCTTTATAGTTTTTCATGAGAAATGCATCGGACAAATCCCAATAGAGGTTATCCTATGAAACACTTATCCAGTACTCCTCAGAACTGTCAAAGTCATTAAAGCCAAGATAAGTCTGAGAAACTGTCACAGACCAGAGGAATCAAAGGAGACATGAAGACTAAATGTGGTGTGGAGTGCTGAATGGAGTCCTGGAACAGAGAAAAGACATTAGGTAAAACTAACGTTATCTGAATAAACTAAACACTTTATGGAATTAGCAACAATATGCCAATAGTATCTCACTAATTCTAACAAATATACTATGCTAATGTATGATATTAATAATAACGGAAACTGAGTGAGGAATATATGAGAGCTCCATTTAGTGTCTTCTTAATTGTTCTCTATAGCTAAAACTGTCTTTTAAATGAGAGCATTTTAAAAAACATCATCTCCCTTAAACGAGAGGGCAAGCAGGACAGATCCAAAGTGAGTTGATTTAGCAGATTAGCAATTTTGGTGGCTCAAATTCTCTCCACTTGCTTGCTCTGCTACCCTGACATAGGCTGACCTCAACTTGTTGGTGTTATGTTGTAACAGGGCAGTGTCAGTGGCTGTGACATAGGCATCTAATGAGCAGATAGGGACAAGCCTCTGGGAGACGTCCCTATGAGACCACTGGCCTGAAGTGATGGTAGAGTTGCACCTGAGCCCATCACTGATAAGAGAACGAGGGGACCACAAGGGTCCACTGGAAGCAGGACTTCCCCTGAGACTCATAAGGGAGACCTCAGAACCAGTGGGCTCTTCCATCTCCTACCAAGCAGCTGAGCGACTAGCCAAGCTGCCTTACAAGTGGAAGCAAAGCCAATGCCCTTCTAACTTGGGTCATGGTCATGTCTGCTTCTTCAGCTTGAACACACCTTCTGGTGCCTCTTAAACTCCATCCTCCTTCTATATCCAGCTTTCTAGCTTATGCAAATCATTTTGATGGCCAGCCCTTAAGGATTCTATATTAAGATGTGGGTATGTTATTTTTCTCTTTTCTTTTCAGTGATTGCTTAATGGCTTCACCGCTCACTATAACTGCTGCTTTCTTAGAATGAAGAGGGAAAGATATTTGGCTCAGGTCCCTGCTTTGGGATTGTTAGGACACAGTACTCACGTGGTGCTTTCACATCAGCACTCCATTGTTTGCAGCTCTGATGAGGCAAAACATTCCTCCCGCTCTCCATTTCATCAGGAAGAGTAGATGACACATGCATGTAACAGACCCCCCTCCAAAGTCTCTAAACTCCTCTGCAGTGCCCAGATCCTATTATGCTACTACATTCTGTCAATTTCAGTTGCTCCAAATGGTGGTAAATATTATTAAGGTGCTAGATTTTCTACTGGTTGTAATGTAGTTTCTAGTAGGTAATAGAGTAATTATTTGTAAGTAATTACAATCAATAATTGGGCCCACTGTCTTTTTCTCAAAGGCAAGTTTGGAGAAAATCATTAAAATTAGAATAGGTAAGGCTATTATGTATTCAAGTGAGAACAATGAAAGAAATCATGCTAAAACCGAGAAACAAGAAGCAACAGGGTGAGAATGAGAGGGAGCGGAAGACCTAGATCCTGCAAGTCTACTTGTCAAGAGCGGTGGGTTCCATTGCAGGTAGAATCCACTGGATCCTGAAGCCAGGTCACATTCCTGAGAAAGGGGAGTCTATTCAAGCGGGACAGAAACACCAAACAAGCAGAGGATATCGAAAACCATGTTACTTCCCGGCAAATAATGTAAACTGAATTTGGCAAAGGTCTATGAACTCAGGGAAAGGAGCAGAGTAAGACTGCTGCTTCCTCCCAGGGCCACCTCTTCTCTTTTTCCATGAATGCAGACAATAAACAAACAATAAAATAGGCAAATAAACAATTATTTCATGATCATTTCAGAGCCTCTGTGCTGCTTTCTCTTGCCCAAATCCCTAAAGAGGCAATGATGTGGGAATGAGTTTTATGATACCTGAAGGAACTAGTTCTGAAAGGGGGAGGTTGTGCATGATTTTGTGTGTGTGTGTGTGTGTGTGTGTGTGTGTGATAGATGATAGATAGATGATAGATAGATAGATAGATAGATAGAGAGATAGAGAGAGAAACCGAGACACCCAGAGAGAAACTACAGGATGACTGTACTAGTCTGATTTGAAAGGAGAGTGTTTTGAACCAAAGTGATCTGATCCCTATTTCAGCTTATAGCTACTTGGAAACCATGGGACCTTGGATCATCTCTACAAAGATAAAGATGCCAGGACAATTTAAAGAGATGGGAAAATGCTAGGAATCAGCTGGTACCTGGTGGCCAAGGAACAGGTGAGACTAAGAGAACCCAGCTTCCTCTCCATGCCTCCCAGGTATGGCTCTTTGTGCATTCCTTGGTAAGCTTTTTACACATAAATGTGTCACAGAATCTATTACCTGATCTGAGCAGTTGGTGTAAGGATGCAGGTCTGAGTGTATCTATTCTGAACTGGGCTTTGGGAATTAGATGATCCATATTTCTTGGTATTATGTCTTGGGAAATTGTTTAAATTTCCATCAATGATGAATTGTGATGTGAGAATAATAATAATAATAATAATAATCTGGAGAGTTTAGGGTATGGTGAGAGAGTAGTAATTTAAAGTAGAGTGACATCAGATAGCTCTTGCTGAATGCCACCAATGCATTGGAAAAAGACAACTAAAGCCTTTGAATAGATAATCACCAATCTAAGACCCCTTTGGAGTATATGAAGAATTCTCATCTCCTACAGCGAAAGGCAAAAAATAAAAGAAAATAGAAGAAAAGGTTGAGAAGCAGCCCTAGGACTTAATTAGAAGGTTAATGGAGTTCCACAGAAGATGAAATTCTCAGTCTTAACAAGGTTACTATTTCAAAATCATGGCCTAAAAACCTAAAGCTTGGGATGGGGACATCTGTGTTGATCACACAAGAGCCCTTGAAACCTGGATTTCCCTCAATCCTAGAGGCCTGCAGAAGTGGCCCACTCCTGTCTGTTAGAGGGGACCACTCCCTGATGGATGATGCACAGGTTTCTGTCTTGCAAGGAAACACTGGTCCCTCCCCACTTCAGGATCTGCCCCAGGTCCACCCTACCAGATTGATATCTAGGATCAAGTCAGAACATTATTTGGCTAAGAAAGTGCAGGGCCTGTAAGTGCAAAAGGAAGCCATATGCTGCAGAAGCTGTGGAATTACTAAGGACACACAAGCAAAATTTGGGAAAGTGTGTGTGTGTCTGGATCCTGCCAGTCCTTTACCAAGGACAATAGAATTACAAAGTTGGATTAGGAAGGGGATTGTTGACATGGATTCCTTCTCCTATGCTACACAATTGTATACTTTGGCAAGGATTCTGGGTGATTACACCCTAGGAATATACTGTCAGGTTGGTCCTCAGAAACACCGGAACAATAGTGAGCTACACTAATTGAAAAAGAACTATTAGAACTCCTATAGAAAATGATGGAGAGGGGGATGGAAAGACTCAGATAACTGGATATGCTAAATTGGATATACTATGAAAACCTAGAAAATCTACTCACTGAGTATGTTAATTGGGAGGCTCTGGAGGACACCCCAAAAGGTGAGAGATAAATCCCATGAAGATCCAGATCCACAATGAGTATATAAGGATCCTATGTTCTGAAGACTGTCAGGAGATCCTCTCCAAAGCAATAAGGAATATGCTGATAAAATAGGCTTCAGTGTTGTCAAGAAACTTAGCTTGGCTGTCCTCTGAAGGCTGTGGTTGATGGCACCAGTGTGCTCCCTCACAGCATTGAGGAGGATAAGATCCCAAAATAATTGAGGCCAGGTGATGGGTTTAGTATCAGAATCAAAGTGGATACAATGGTTAGTAGTACTTAGCAATCCTAGGAGTAGACTAGATGACAGCTGACAAGGGTATTGCTCAGTCTACAGATCAAAATAAATCATGAATGGATGCTCATGAATGGACAGAGGGCAGGCATCCCAATAAAACACCATAATCCCTTATCCAGTTTCTATGCCTGGCCCAGTTCTCAGACTTGGAATCCACTCACTGTAATAGGAGCTGCGCCCCTAGGAGGGATGTCTTATATCACCCCAGAAACAGCATATAATTATAACACATCCAGTATTTTCCCAAAGGAACCAGTGCCCTTTACTCAGGTAACTGTATATTGGGGAAAAGGGATACCAAGACATTTCTAGGATTCTTGGACATAGATTCTGAGTTCACATGAATACTGGAGATCTGAAGCATTTTCATGTTCCTCCTGTTGGAATAAGCCATACTGGGGCTAAAGTAGTAAGTGAAAATAAGACCTGGACTGATTTCACTGTGAGCCCGTGGGTACATGAACCCACCAAATGGTCATTTCCTTAGTCTCAAATGTGTCATTGGAATGGACATACTTGGTCTTTGGCTGAAGTCCATGTTGATTCTTTGGTTTGTGAATTTGTAGAGTCACAAAGCAAAGTATAGAAGGTCAAATAGTAGACTTCAAAACTGTTCCCTGGCCAAAAGAATAAATGACAATGAAACAATATTGTATCCTAAGGAAAATGGTAGAGATTAGTGCCACCCATAAAGCCTGAAAGTATTCTGGAGTTATGCTAATCATAGACTTCATGTACTTCACCAATCGGAGCCCTACAAAAAATAGAGAGATTCTGGAGGATATTAAATACTACAAACAAACTTCAGTAAGTAATAGTCCTAGTTCTTGTGCTATTACAGATATGGTTTGTTGTTATTTTGCCAGAACATGAAAATGTGTCCTCAGATCCAGGGTGAGTGGCCTTTTCCATTCCTGTCAGAAGAGCATATCAGAAGTTTAAATGGACATGGAGTAGACAATAATATATGTTTACTTCTTGCTTCAGACCTATGTTAACTCTCCTGCTGTCTGCAATAATCTAGTCCACAAGAGTCTCAGACTATCTAGACTTACGAAGAAAATCACATTGGTGGGCTGGGGATTTAGCTCAGTGGTTCCAGTGCCTGCCTCATAAGCGCAAGGTCCTGAGTTCCATCCCCTGTACCAAAAAAAAAAAAAGAAAAGAAAAGAAAAAAAGAAAATCACATTGGTCCACTAATTTGATGATATCAAGTTAATATGTTCACATGAAAATGATGTGGCAAATTAGAGACGTTGACAACACATGTTCTCCAGAGGGTGAGAGATAGACCCTACAAGGATTCAGGAAAAACAAAAAAAAGGGATTCAGAAGTCCAGCATATCCATGAATATTTAAGTAAAAGACAGTGTTGTTGCATTTCATACCTTCTTTCACCAAGAAGGAGGCATATCACCTCATAAGCCTCTTAGGATTAGGGAGGCAGCATTTCCTCACTTGGAAATACTGTCCTGACACATTTACCAAGTGAAGTGGAAGCTCTGGGTGGGACACAGAGCAGGAAAAGGCCCCACACCAGATCTGGGTGGTGATGGAAGCAGTCCTGCTGCTTGGAACATTTAGAGTACCAGGCTTTCTGTCATGAGACGTGTATGTGGTGGGAAAAGATGCCACGTGGAGGTTATGGCAAACCGACAGGAGATCACAATGAAAACCCCTAGGGTTCTGGAGCACAGACATGCCATCTGCAGCAGAGAATTACATACCATTGGAAAGAATAGCTCCTGGCATGCTAATGGCCTTGGATGAGATGGAGTGTCTAACTATAGCACATGAAGTGGCCATGTATCCAGAACTGCCCAGGATAATCTGAGTTCTGGCCAACTCATCGAGTTATAAGGTCATGTGGGCCTAAGAGCAATCCGTCATAAGATAGAAGTGATATATCCAGGATGAGACATAAACAAGGCAAATCAGCAGAAGAAAGATACATGAGCAGTGGCCCAGACCCTCGTGTCATCACCACTGTGACACCAGGTTCTCCCCTTTAGCTCATGTCTGTGATGTTCACCTGTATGATCATGAGGGTTGCATCTCTTATTGATTAGCTAATGGAGAAAGGAAAAAGTCAACCTTGGTTTATGGAAGAGGCAGATGAGTTAGTGAATACAAGTGAGAAATGGGTAGTGATTACATGATAGCTCCTTCTAGGAGTGACCTTGAAGTATAGATAAGGGGACTCCTCCTTTGAATAGGAGGAGCTTTGAACAATGCATTTGATAATCCACTTTTGAGAAAAAACAAGAGGTCCACACAGAGGTTTATGGACAATGGCAAAAGCTATCCTGGAAGGAGAAAGACTGAAAATATCAGGGATAAAGACTCTGGGGAAGAGGAAAATGGACAGGACTATGGGAGTAGGAGTAAAGAGGAGAGATCTTTACCAATGTCTTTTTTTCCCCCTTTGCAATGCTGGGGATGGAATCCAGGACCTCAGGCATGCTGGGCAGGTCTACCATCATCTTTTAATGTTTTCTCTAATGTAGTAGAGTATCTACTACAGAAGAAGCAGTAAAGAACCAAATAGACAACATGGTTCACCAGTCATTTTTGTCCAACCTCTGTCACTGGCTACCTAAATGCTGATGCAATTGGTGCATAAACATGGTAGCTCCCGCCTCAGGGTTGGAGGCTCTGTATGGGCTCATCTGTACGCAATCCCACTAATCAAGGCAGACTTAGTCATCAGCACTGTTGAATATCCAATCTTCAAGCCACAGAGACAAACGCTGAGCCTCAAGTGGAGCACTATTCCTCAAAGAGATCAAACATCCTTAAAGGGAAGTTGATTACATTACACTGTTTCCACTCCAGAATGGAAAGTGATTTATAATGACTAGGATCTAAATGTATGCCAGGTATAGGTTTAGTTTTCTTGACTAGAGGACCTAAGGTACCATTGGGAGGTCTAGAGGGTGTTTGTTCCATTGCTATGGTAGCCTATTTTGCATAGCATTGCACAAAGTAATCCGCTTCTCAACAATGGAGATACAGCAGGAAGCATTTGACCATGGGCTCTACTAATCCTGCCCCATATTGTACCAGCTGGAAGCTGCTGGCCTGACAGAGAGATGAGACAGTCTTGGAAAGGAGCAGTTTAGGCACCAGCTTGAAGATAACATGGTGCAAGTATGGGACTTCATCCTAGGATGCCAAGTCAATGACCACTGCATGGTACTGTCCCCAGTAGGTAGAAAACATGGATCTGGAATCAAAGTATGAGGAGACGAAGTCCCGCCCACTGGTACTCTCAGTGATGTATTGGGAATTTGTGTTTCCCATTCCATCTTCCCTGGCTTCTGTGAAGATAGAGGGTTTGGTTCCAACAGGGGAAAGCACCCACCAGGGGGCAAAGCAAGCGTCTCATTAAACTTTGAGGTGTAGCTGCCATCTGTTCCTCCAGGATCCTTAGCGCCAGAGACTATCAGGTGAGGAAAGGAGTCACATCCTAGCAGGAGTAATTGATTTTGATCATTGTGAGGAGGTTGGGCTGTTATACAACCGGGAAAGGGACAATGTGCATGCCACTCAGGTGACCTATGTTGGTTTCAGCTGATGCTTCCTTGGCAAATTTTGATGATAGACAAGCACAGCATGCATAGCCTGAGAATCGCAGGGCGACCAGTTCACCCACCAGGTAAGCTGTCTGTGTCATCTGCGACGCTGGTAATATGGAGTGGGTAGAGGAGGAAAGGCGAGATGAGGAGCAGTGATATTCCCACAGTCAGTGACTGCAGTTCATCCTACTCTCCTTCCTTTTGCTGAGATGATGAGAGAATCTTGCAGGCAGGATCCTGGGGCGGGGAGGGTGAAGTTATTACACAAGGGATTAGTGGACCTAAGTCCGTGAGGACTAAACACAGTAGATGTCGTGGTTCAAGGCCAAGATCCTCAGTCAGGACCCAGGCATCATTTCTCCAGCCTCCCCAAGCATTGGCTGCAGTCAGCTCACAGATGTCCCCTGGCCAAAGGGTAGGGCCCCAGCCAAACTATGCCCCTCCCCAGGCACAGCTCATATCCAGTGATATGGGGTAATGGATATGGAGTGAGAAGTCCCAACCCCTTTGCCTCTGCTCAGTCTTAATTCTGCAGGAGCACCCAGCTCCAGAGCACGCTGTGCAGCTGCGGCCTCAATGGCAACTCTGCCACAAGTTGACTTCTCAATCTTGCAACCAGGTATGGATCACCCAGGAATACTATCCCATAAATGTTCTGCAGACACATCTTTGCCTCAGGGCTTGCTTTCGTAGGGAAGCCTAACCTGAGACAGCCTGACCCAGGATCTACAGTATCTGCTTCAATCAGTATCTACATCAGTGGCACTACAGCACTCTTTTCAGGTGGTTTAAACCTAAAGTGGAATATCGAGAAGAATGGGGAAGACTAATTATGGTTTATCACTTTACAGAATTCTGCTAACTCGGGCCCCAGCATTTCCATACTGGGCCTAACCAAGCTCTGTCACCCCACCCACCTCTATCTGTACAGGAGCTAAGAGAACAAACATTACTGGTTTAGCTCTTCATTGTGTTGCAACAAAAATGCAGCAGCCAAAATAGAAAAACAAAACAAAACAAAAAAACCACCGGAAGCACTAAGAAGTGTCAGCTTTCCAGCCAATCATGTAAACACACCCATGCCTACCTCATCTCTTTTTTGTTGCTGATTTTTTGCACTTATGCTCTGATCATAAAGAGTGTCAAATAAGATCTCTGGCAAGTTAAAGGAAAGCTTCAAATTCCAGTTTCAGTAAACTTGTAATTTAAATTTCTGTCATTTTAGGTGAACTTGAATGTTGGAAAGGACAGGAGAAAATAAAATTATTCCAGTTGACATGGTAGGCTCAACTGGAACAGGTGTTTAAAATTCACTGCTAGGTAAAGTCATATTCAAAACTTTACTTCTATTGGGTGATGAATATTTCAACTTTTACTTTTCTTTTCTCTCTCTCTCTCACTTTCTTTTTTTTTTGCTGACAAAACTTTGAGGTTTTTTTTCCATCAGGAAGGCACGATCATTCTGCAGTACTGCCAAATATAACAAACATCTACAGATGGGTTGGTCTGCAGCTGGAGGCTTTAACTTTGTAGTATTTATTTGAAATATCCGAGCCAGCAGAGCAAGGCTAAAGCACAGTGGGCACAATTCACAATGTTTTGGCTCTGGAGCAAATAGCAGTTGAACTTAGTTTTTTCAGCTAAAATGGAATTTATGCAGATGTGCTTTGCACTAAATTCATTAAACAATTACATCCTGGTGCAGTTTTCACATTTTTGTAAAGGATCTGCATAAGCACTAATTAGATCTAAAACAATGTTACTGGGCAAATTACAGTGCCGATTGTTCCCCTCGTCTTGCATTCCCGCATCTGCTTTGCAGAGATGATGATAATTTAGGTGCAAGCCATACAAATGCTGGTTTTTGTTACATTTACTAGAAATATTTATTTAAAACGTACTATAGATTAATTGATAATGTACGCATTTTAAAAGACCCTCCAAATGTTTTCTCACCGACACTTGCTGGTAAAATTCAGTCTGTGAAAAATACAGTAGCTGAAACTTCTCACAATCCCTAACTGGCATTTTCCTCTGTGCAGTTTGCTATTGAAAGGCAACTTTGCATTTCATTTGGCTTCAAGTACAAGCTGGGTTCGCTGAATTACAGCAGTGCCTTTCAGAGTGCTGCATTTGACGTAAAGGCACACATGCTCCTAAAGAACTCCCAGCCGTGGCACCCCACACCACCTCTTCTGTGGTCCGTCAGTTAAAAAGGGTGACTTTGTGTTGGGAAATTATTCAATGTCCTAAGGAGCTCAGACGTGAGAGTATGTTTTCTTTCTTCCATATTTGTCTTTCTATATCATGAAATGTAGGAAGGCATATTAACATTTAAACGTAAAATTAATTCTGCAGACATAAGGACATTCCAATAGGGTTTCTATGGCAACTTTGAATGTACCAACTTAATTCAGGACTTGTTCCAGCCTAGGAGTCACCTCCGTTATTGCTGTCATCCTAGACATTCTTCAGTTCGCCTGACCAGCCATGCAGTTGGAGCCCTGAGGGTAACCATTCTGTTCTCAAACAGAGTAACTGGTACTACAACTAGCATTATCTCCATCCCTGGGAAGGAGGCCAATGTGGTGAATCAGTTTGGCTGCTGATTTTCTAAAAACCACTCCTGTTGTTGGACTTTTAAAGTGGTTTCATTTATTGTTCGATGGAGCCAGCCATGAAAGGCCAAGCGTACTATGAATGCCAGCAAAGATTAAGAGGCAAAACTGAACTCCAAATGTAATCAATGTACAAGCCCAAGTTCAAGATATTTGGAAATATCTCTTCTTGGTGCAGGAATACTAATTATTAATGCAAAACACAGCGAGTAGTAATGGTGCTTTCAAAATTTAGCATTCAAGTTCACTTGCTTTACTGAATTGTTTCTTTAACCTTTATGTGGGTCTTTCCATTTCATTCTGTGATTTTTGCTAGGTAGGAGAGATTGTAACTAGAGAGGTGATAATAATTCCTTCTACAGACTTAATTGGTAAGCCTGAAACTGCTGTGCTGGTTGAATATGAAATTATATCCTCCTTAAAGGAAAACATAATTTAGCACTAGCTTTGTTGTTTAAAAGTAAAATGCATGATGCCTGTGAAAACAGGCAAAGTATGTTTATAATACAAATGTTACTTTTGAAGATCAGGAAAAAGACAATAATTAGTATTTCATAAGGTATTGCTTTACCTTTGGAAATTATTTGATTCTATACTTTATTTCTATTTTGTGTTTTTCTACTGAGAAAGAGGAAAATAAGCAGGATGTAATTTTTACCAAATTAAACATAAATGTGAGACTTATTTCTCAAACTTCCAAAAGTTGCCTTTGGAAGGAAATGGAAGAAACTCTACTCTAAACACCGGAAGTTATGAACACCTGGAAGAAGGTTATTATGACAGCATTATCAGTCTTAACAATATTACTGTTAACAGCTTACTCCTGTGGCTGATAAAAGGTCTATGCAACTTCTGAAGAGACAATTAAATGAAACAGCAGAGTTCTTGGCAAAACTGACTTAATTGTTGTACCTTTTGGCCAAGGGGTATTTGTGGATGCTACTACTTACTGTTCCTTTCTTTTTAAGTCCCCGAATAGGGGCCTTAAGTACCTGAGGTACTGCCTTGTGGTACCTGAGGTAACTCTTGATTCCACTTATCCCTCTACTCCTTTCCTGGCCTTCTTCCTTCTCCCCTTCAGCAAGAATTTCTCTATGACTTTTTTTTTTTTTTTTTTTTGGTACCGGGGATTGAACTCAGGTTCTTGCGCTTGCAGGGCAGGCAGTGGAACCACTGAGCTAAATCCCTGGCCTCTCTATGGCTTCTTGAGGCCAAGTACCATGTTTGACACTCACATGGGTGAGCCAGTGGTCCTGCTTTTTTGGGATTCACACTTGTAAGTAGAGGACACTCATAAGTCCTTATCCAACAAGGCACACATTTGATTATCTTAGGTTATTTACTTGGAAAAATCCAGAGGTTGGGTGCCATATTGCTATAGGCATTTTCCATTTGTTGGAGTGAACCCAGTTTTATTAGTCAGAATATATTATTCAATAGAATATTACATGTATAAACTCACCCACTACTGTCCTTCCAAGAAAAATATGAACTAGTTATAATTGAAGGTGCTGAAAAGTTCCTCTGCCCCCAGCATGTCTTCCCATATGGCCCTGTTGAAATTGCCAGCATTAAAATTCCCTCTTAAATGAATCTTCTTTGAGGAGCTTATCTCTTTAACAAGTTTAACTTTATATTAACCAGATTAACTTTACATCATCAGGATTCTCAAGCACTGCTGGTAGGAATTTTCCAGCCAAGATATTGCTTCTAGACTGGCCACGTGGCTAATTCTCTACTTGCAATAGTGTCATCTGTGTGTCCCAGACAGAAAGTACTCTGTGTTAGTCAGCTTTCTGTTTCTATGACACAATACCTGAGAGAAACAATTTAAAAGGAGGAGAGGGTTTGTTTTGGCTCATGACTTCAGAAGTTTTGGTCCATGGTTGATCAACTCTCACTTTGGCCCTGTGGTGGGGTACATCATGGCAGGAGTATGTGGAAGAGGGGTCTGTTCACCTCATGTTGTCTGGGAAGACAAGAGAAAGTGAAAATTCTCCCAGGTTTCTCATGTCCCCTTTGAGAGCACTCCCTCAGTTTCCTCACTTCCTCCCATGAAGCCCCACATCTTAAAGGTTCCACCACCTTCCAATAGTGCCACGGGCTGACCCTTCAACACATGGTCCTAACAAACTATAGTTAACTTCCTGCTCTGCATATGAGAGAAGATTCTCACATTGGTACTTCTGTATCACAAAGGCTGACACCACAGAGAAAGGACCCTGGGGAACATTTTAATCTACACTATAGTATGTGAGACTTTGTTTAATCTAAAAGGAATTTAATAAAACTATTTCTACTCACTGGTTTGCAATAGGAGGAAAGATAGATTATAATGGGAGAGGGAGCCAGGAGCCCACAGGTAGCTCAGACGGGGTTGGGCATCTGGTTATCTGGCCCCACAAAGTACTGGGAAAGGTTTAAAGAGTGGGATCTAGAAGACACTATACTGTTTACCTGGAATTCATTCTGACCCTTAGCACTAAGCCTTCCTTTAAAACATTCAATAAAACACATATGTAAGGAGGAAGTTCAGTACTGGGCTAAGCTGTCCTGTCTTGAGGCATCATATTTTGGTCAGTTTGACAACACTTGAAAGTACCTAGTACTTTGGAGAATATAATGTAGCTCAAGAAACATGGTCCTCCCTGCCTCCAAACTCTGCTCAGTGGAGGCTGGAACAATATCTGGCATTCCTCCTTTTGCCCTCAAAGCATAGCCCAGTATCTGCTTATTGGCAGAGACAGGCACCTAACAGAATTCCCGTATAAATCAGTAGGCAAGGAAACAATGAAAGTCTACAAGTGAGCTCCCTAACCCAATTTCTTTGCACCATAAAGGATTAGTACATGTTAATTGGGCCATGAAAACTAAAGAAGGCTTTCAGACAGAGGGAATGGCATAAGTAAAGCCACAGAGATATGAAAAGACATGGTGTTAGGAAAAACTACAAACAGTGTGGTGTCAGTAAAGCTGGGTGCTCAAGGTGGATCACAAAGACATACAATTTGTGTGGTAGATACAAATTGGGCTTGTGTCCTTTGGGCCATACTGAGGACTGTGGGTCCTACTCTGTAGGTAGTGAGAAGTCAGGTAAAGGGTTATAAGCACAAATTGCTCTCATGTACAATATTACCACTCTCTTATTATCATAGTGCTCACTGCATACTGAAGTTTACTATTTGCCAGATGCACATCTATGTGATTTACATACCTTTTCTTGTTTTACAGAAGACAGAAGCTCCACACAAGAGAGATTAAGTACAGCAACTTGCCTAAGACCACACTGTTCAGTGAAGAACTTGGACTTGACCCAGGTCTTACTCGCTGAATCAAGTGGCAGGGTGAGCCTGCAGGATTCACAGAAGTGTATCACACTATCGCAGGTTTGGGACATCATTAGACACCAGGGAAATACAAACCCTAACCACAAGATACCACTTCATCCCTATAGGGATGCCAAGAAGAGAAAAATCAGATAATAACAACAAGTGTTGGAAAGGATATGGGAAAATCAGAACCCTCACGTATTCTGGTAGAAGTAGAAAATGGTTCCACTGCTTGGAAAACAGTTTAGAAGTTCCTTGATTGATTCAACATAGAGTTACATATGATCCAGTTATTCCACTCCTATAGAGTGGACTATGCTATAGATTGAATATATATATGCTATGAATATTCCAATGCTATAGACTGAATATGTATATGTTAGAATGCGTGTTTTAAATCCTAATGCTCAGTGTGATGATATTTGGAGATGAGGCCTTTGGGAGGTGATTAGGTCACAAGGGCTCCATGGATGGAGTCGGTGCCCTTATCAAAGAGGCCTGGAGAGAGCCCCCATTCCCTATCACCATGTGAGTTTATAGAGAGAAGATGGTCTCTTAGGAGCCCGGAAATTGGCCTGCACCAGACACAACATCTGCCGGCACCTTCATCTTGGACTTTCCAGCCTCTAGGACTGTGAGAAATAAAGTTCTTTTGTTCCTAACCCACCAGGCCTGTGGGGCGAAGACATTATATATATCCAAGAGAAATGAAAACACATGTCCATATAAAAATCTTTACATGAACATTCATAGTAGTACTATTCATGATAAGCAAAGGTGGGAACAACCCAAATGTCCTTTAATAATTGAAGAGATAGACAAAATGTGGTATATCTGTACAATAATTTTGTTTTGGCCATAAAAAGACTGAAAATGGGGCCTTAAAGAGATAATAGGAGACCGATGTTCATACATGATTATTCACTGTGTTCAAAAGTTGTAAGCACCACAAGTGTCCATCAATGGATACACAGAAAAACAAAAATGTGGTGTAGCCACAGAATAGAATATTACTCAGCCTTAAAAAAGAAGGAAGTTGTAACATGCGCTACAATATGAATGGACTTTGAGAACATCATGCTAAGTAAAATAAGTGATATACTGTATATAAATCAGTATATAAATACTGTATGATTCCACTTATATAAGGTACCTAAAATAGTCAAATTTATAGACAGAAAGTAGAACGGTGGTTGCCAGGGGCAAAGGGTATAGGAACAGGAAATTGTTGTTTAGTGGATACAGAATTTCAGTTTTGAAAGACAAAGAGTCCTAGAGATGGGTTGCACAACAATGTGAATTTTTTTTAGCAAAACATTTATTGGTACATTGTAGATATACATAATGATAACATTCATCACGAGGAATTTTTACCTACGCATGACACACCCTGCTTCTCCTTTTTTTCTCATTCCCCCTCCCCTTGACCCCTCTTGCCCTCCCCATATACAAAAGCCTTGATTAACTTTTCACTAAAAAATGGCTAAGATGGTAAATTTAATGTTATGTGTATTTTGCCACAAATTTTAAAAAGAGAAAGCAATGGTTGCTTGTGTTATTAACTGGATGTCTGAGAGGTTCACAGGGTCAGGACAAACAGCTGGCTTTGCACTCCCACAGATCTGAGGCAGGATTCTGCTGCATTGCATAGTAACTGGGTGTCCCAATGTAAAGTCCCAGCACGCTCAATTTCTCCAAGATGCAAATGATAGGGTAGGAAGGACCTCCTCATTCAGTGTCAGAATAATAAGTAAAATAAAACTATTCTTGTGTACATTTGTTTCTATTAAAACTACTTTAAAAGCTACGCTAGAATACATTAACCCAGTGACCAAGTAGTGAGGGCTGCCAGATAGAATGCAGGGCGCCCGACTGACTTTGAATTTAACGTAAGCAATGAAAACTTTTTAATAACTTCTTCATGTAAGTGTGTCCCAAATGTTACATTATACCCTATGTGATACTGGGGACATATTTACCTGAAAATCAATTTTTATTGTTTATCTGAATACAACAGAGTGCCCTGTATTTTATTTGCTAAATACAGGTCTTACACATAACTCAAATAAGTGACAACGTTTAGCTCTATAGAGAAGAAAAAAAAATTTTCCCCCAGTACTCTGGCCATTTTTTCTTCTTGTCCAATTCTTGTGTTTGGCTGTCATCAAAGATGCGGGACAGGCATATGGCTTAATGACCAAAATGACAACTGACATTGGGACTGATATATTAATCTTCTGGTTTGTCTCTTAATTATAATTGGGTTTAAACAAACAAAACCATGAATAGATTACCTGCTTTATTTCCTCTGTCCCCATCAAACATTGTGAAAAGTCCTTTGCCCTGTGCTGTGCCCCTCCTTCTATTTTCCTCAAAAGTAAATTTTTATCTATGAAGATGGTGACTTTAATCAAATTAGCAAGAGTTAAGAAGGCCATCCAGGGCCGGGGATTTAGCTCCGCCGCCTGCCTCGCAAGCACAAGGTCCCGAGTTCGATCCCCAGTACCAAAATAAAAGAAGGCCGTCCACTGAAAACTTTAATGTGCGAGTCTCCATCCATCTTGGAGCATCCAAGATGTTGAATGTGATATAAATCCTGCTGGCCCTACTGTCACCAGACAGTCACTCACTGGGCCAGTGCTGTGTCCTTGAAGTGGAGTCTACTGAGAGAGACGATGGTCACCTTCACCAATCAGAAGCACAACAGCCAGGCCTTATATGCTTACGGATTTCTGTGATTTGCTAGATAGGACCCTCTACTTCTCCATGAAAGGTGGCATTAGATTTCTTGAGACAGTGGTGGCGACAACCTGAGAACAGGAAGTCAAAGCTCAGTTCAGGTTCTGCTGCCCAAGGGCTGGATTTGGGCAGCACGTCCCTGGCTGCGGCTGGATAATCAGGGACGAGTCCCCATGAGAACAGATGAAGAAGTGTCCATCAGAGACCTGAGGACAGTGCCAAGCCTGCGCCAGTGTAGAAAGGGAGCTTCGGCCACCTTCTGGGTTCTGGGGCCCCAGCTTTTCTTCAGGCTGAGGGCCTCAAGGGATGGGTGGCCAACCTTCTTCTGCTCCTCTCTGTCTTCCCTGCTTCACCAGCTCTTCTTCTGCCTTGCCTCTCTGTGCCACCCCCACCCAGCCCTGGAAAACCTCCTGACCCGGCTTCTCTGGCAGACTCGTCTGTGGAAATGCTCCCTGGGACTGCCGTGTCCAGAAGCCACCTTCCTGGCCCCTTCAGCACACATGATAGACACGAGGGCTTTAACTCAATACCCAGTTTATTAAAACGACAAACTTAGAAGCCCGGTTTCCTAAAACTTTTATGCTACAAATCTGGTTATTCTATGTATAAATCTGGTAAATTTTATGTTCAATAAGAGGAAATACTTTTTTTTTTTTTTGGTACCAGGGATCGAACTAGGGACCTTCCACTTTCGAGGCAGGCGGCAGAACCACTGAACTAAATTCTCGGCCCAAGAAACACTTTTGATTAGTTTTTTCTTTTCTCTTTTAAAATTAAATTTATTTTTAACCAATAGATAAAAACATACAAGTTGTAGATTTTAATGGGGTAACTTTTGATATTTTAATACATGTGTATATTGTGGAATTGACTAGTTTTTGATTGTCTTGAGTTGAAAGGACTAAATTTCCATTATACCATGAGTGTCCTTTACCTTAATTATTAGTTTCCTTTCAACATTTTAAACTGCAGTGATAAAATTTAATACACTTTTCTCTCTGAGCAATTCAAATGTATGCTTTGGCTTCATGTGACCCTAACAAATAAAATCTTTCTTTTTTTTTTCTCTTTTTCTGGTATGAGGGATTGAACCCGGAGAGTGCTGAGTCACATCTCCAGCTCCCTACCCCCTTTCAGAAATCTCAGGCAGGATCTTGCTAAGTTGCCCACGTTGTCCTCGGACTTGCAGTCTTCCTGCCTCAGCCTCCAGAGTGCTGGGATTACAGGTGTGCCCCACAACATGCAGCTCTTCCAGTGGTTTTTAAGGTTTTCTAAATCTGGTAAATTGCAAATTATTAACCTTATGACCCCCAAGTTCTAGTAAATAGTCTACTAGTGTTTATGTAAAATTGCAGTGAAATTACAACGTTCAGCTTATGGGTTATAAAGTTTGAATTGCAGTGGGTGAAACTTTGAGAGGGCCTGGAAGGGCTGCCAGTCACCCAGGCCCTGGGTCAGCGTAGTTGCTGGTGTGTGTGCTCAGGGAGGGTGGGGGGAGGGATTCCTGTTTTTGATGCGTATTTTGAGATGTGTCTAGGAGGAGCTGGGAATGCAGGACTGAGGACTGGAGCAAAGATTCCATCACTGGAGTATAGGGAGAGAAAAGAGCTGAAGCCCAGCAGACTCCAGGATTTTGGAGACACAGTGGAAGGTAAGGATGGGCCCAGAGAAACCATCAGGGTAGAGTCAGCCATCCGCGGCTCTGCGCCCTGTGTGTTCAGCCTACAGAGGAGCCCTGTGATTCCTAAACTTGCTGTGATTTCACTGTGTGTCTCTGATAAGTCTTTAACTTTGGGGCTCAGATTTCCCTCTCCACCAGATCCTGATGATAATAATAGTTCCTACACAAGTGGAGAAGGCCCAACTTGCTTCCAAGAAAGTGGTTCTTATTAAGATAAAAGTTGAGGCCCAGAGTGTAGTGGTGGTAGAAAGTGTGCTTAGCATATGCGAGGAGGCCCTGGGTTCGGTTATCAGCACCACACAAAGAAGGAGAGGAGAAAGGTGTGGGGAGGGAGGAGGAAAGAACAGGCCTGGGAGAGAGGAGCAGAAGCTGGAGAGACACTTGCATAATCAAGGAGGATTCAGTCACCCGGACTACTTGTACGGACGGTGAAGCAAGGGGAACCGGTCTGCCACCCTGGAGGTTACAGCCTGAGCTCCTGCCATGTGCTCAGTAAATGTTAACTACACACCGCATTGGCAGATTTTATGAATGTGAAAAAAAATCCCTCATAATATTTTAAAATATTGGTTACATATTGAAATTCAAATTCCTAGTAATAATATTGGAATAAGTAAGATACATTTAAATATTAGCTTTTTAATATTGACACTTGGGAGTATCAAGTTACATGTGTGGATTTTCTTTGTGTGGGACAGTGCTGGGTGACAGTCATTAGTAAGATGACGAAGACCAACTCAGTATGCCACCTCTGT